ATAGTCTCAACTTCTAACTAAAAAGAGCATAAAGCTTTTATTGTGATGCATAAATAATACATCCATCCCTTTCTTTCCACTAGTTTGGGAATAGGATGTAACTGGGATTAAGACAAAGTTCTGCCCCTCCCCATAAACCTACCACAACGCAGGTGGATACAAGTCCATCATCTGGACATTTGGGGAGATTGCCGAGTTCTTGGTCACTTCCCGTCTGTCGGGGTGTATACATGATGGGTGATACAGACATGTATTTTCTAATCAATATTGGTTAGTGGCTCAACATTGTGGAACAGAGGATTATCTAGGTAGAGGATAAAACCAAGTTGCACTTCGTATGGAGAGAGCTTTTCTTTTTTAATCAGGCATTTGGTTAAGATAATAGGCTTGAGACCCTAATTGATTATTACTATTTTAAGCTTTTAAGATGGCTCTGTACACTGAGTTGCTTGACATGAGAAGGGCTTTAGAAATGGTTTCAGTGCTAGTATTGGAACCTGTCTTTTAATTTCAAAATGCTGAAAGTGAATCAAAGCCTCCCATAAAGCTGTTCCTTAAAGCTTAATATACTGTCAGTCAGAATATGTAGTACAAGTGAAAAAGCAGGATTTGGACTTTTTTCATCTTCAAAGGATTAACTGTTTTCTTTCATATTTTGTTCGAATTACAGGGAGTCTACTTTATCTGTTTATAAAGAAGTTCATACACTTAAAGAACTCTAAATCTATTTTATAATAAAAATAACATATAAACAAAACATAATAATTATAACACCTTATATTTTATTATAATGGAAACATCTCTGATATGTGATTAAGGAACAATAATCTGATTTCTTAAATTTTGATTATATACAGAATTTCCATTTAAAATTAATTGCATCAGTCAAACAACAGTACAAGGGCTTGATCCGTAGACTCCCTGTACATGAAATTACCTTCTTGGACATTAATTAAGAATAAAGACAAGACTCTCCATGTAAGCTAGATGTTAGGAGGCAGTTTAGTTGCCTTTGTACACATTTACTCAGTCAAATATGAACGTTGCTTAATAATGCAAAACAAATGGAATGAGACTCTAAGGCCTATTTTCAGTCTCCTTTTCATTAATGTATATCAGGAAAAACTTTATTAAGGACAGTGAGAAAAGACTTAAATAAAACTGGTATGAGACCAGAGTCAGGGTCCATATTCTTAGACTTTTTTCTGCTCTATCATTGGGGTGATATTGGATGCAAAATGAAAGAAACGCAAATTGCATGTTAATTTTTTTACAGAATTACAGCTGTCACTGTATGCAGAGCTGTTTTACTGTATCATTTATATTATTATGTGATATTATATGTGTAAAAGTAAGAGTGAGATTGGTGTCCATACATTACTTACCAATAAGTATTATTACTTAACTTTTCCGACTTACATTTCCGATTTTCCTGTTAACTCCGGAAAATAAGATATTGTCTCCATAGGCACTTCTTATGAGAGCTACAGAAAGCCTGAGCTTGTTCTTTTAGTGCCCTGATCCTGTGGAAAGATGCATACTGATTTTGGTCAGAAATGAATTTGATGACTTACATATGTGCTTAAACTTAAGCACATGCTCAGTTGCTTTGTACAATCATCCATGTAAGGCTAGGCATAGGACTTCAGTGACTGAGTGCTATTAGTTTTGTAAAAAGTTAATAAGGATCCTCAAATCCTCAATCCAAACACCTGCTTGTCTAACAGAATGTGATGGTGGTACAAAACCACAGAGATAGCCAGACCATATACAGTCATTTCAACTTCCTATCTATGGGGTATTTAACAAAAGTATCATTTTGCACATATTTCAATAAAGTGCTGCATGAAAAGTAAATCTTGCAAGCTTTCAAGATGTTTAATCATCTTTCAATTAAGAATCTTTTAATGCTAACATCTGCATTTGTAATTGCTTAACTTTACCTTTTTTTTCCTCCTCATTCACTGTTAAGTGGAACAGCCAGATTGAAACAGTTCCTGTGAAAGACATTTTTTTTTCTATTTTGGCTTTTGTTAGCAGGCACAAAAAATTAACTTTTATAGCTTCTGCTGTTAATTATGCTATTTTGTGGCAATTCCTCTTTTAGCTGATTGGTGGTTTTGCTTCTTTTTTGCCTTTTCCTTGTTGCACGATTTATCTCTATTTCAAAACCAGGTTCAGCAAAAGCTAGAAATCTGAGCCCAGATTTTACTGTCTGAACCACATGGATGGACACTTTCACCTGCATGAAGCTTTATTGAACACACTGAGGCTCCATTTTCACATGTGTATAGATCCCATTTCAGGACTGGGATCCTTGTCAAGAGAATAACAGTTCATGTGCATGAGGATACAATAGAGATGACTATTGGTTGGATTAGGTCTAATTTCCTTGCCATTTATGAATCATATAATACATTGTGTAATTCAGCTTCTGTTCAAGGAATGTATATTTTCTCTAATTAAAATCTAGTCTGTGAATTATAGTTTAATGACAGCACTTTGGGTATGTCCAGCAGCAAAATTAAATTTAGCAAGTGATCATAGAAAGCGCTTGCTCAATGGAGCTGGTAAAAACTCTCAGGGATAATGGGATATATCCTCTGGTCACTGTCATATGCTAAAGTCCATGCTGCTGCGTCTTTGCTGCTATTATTGAGAGTCCTAGGTAGATTAACCTAGAGTAGTCATTCCTGTCTCTGCAACAGTCACACTTTTATTTTGGAGAATCAGCCTACATATTTTTAACCTAAACTGAACTTTAATTTTCTTGCAGTTTATTTCAATACAAACTCCTACTGATAGCCCATCCAGAAATATGGGTACCCACAAACACCGTAAACACAACCAGTATGTAATAGATGTTAGCATATTGCTTAACGCACAATCGAAGATGCTCAGATGTCGTGGTGGTCAGTGCAGAAAAAGTACTAGAATAGAATTGAATAGAATAGAATAGAGTTCTTGATGCTAAAAAGTACTATGCATTCTGGCTTTGCTCCAGCAAAACACTTAAGCATATGCTTAATTTTAGGCACATGAGTGGTCCCAGCGCAGATCTCAGAGAATGATCTTTAATTCACAGATCATTTAATCCAATAGGCAAGTCTGCTGTAACGTATGTACATTCTCATATTAAAAACACTTGGGAACTTGTTAGTGAACATATGTAATGCATATGGCTAATAACCCATTTTTAAAAAGCAAGAGGATGTGGTCATCATCTTTATCATTGAAAAATGGAAAATGAATTGGAGGCCTATCAAAAGCAATTTTTTGAAAGTGAGATTTTAGTTGAGAAAACGCAAAAAAAAAAATCCCTAAAATTATACTTCCATATTTTTTTCATTTAAAATATTCAAAGAGGATTTTACCTCACCCCCAAATATAATAACATTTCATTTGTAGATTGAGGGACTTAGGTTAAATTGCACATCAAGCACATTTTATGGTTCACTTGTAAACGAGTGGATCATAACAATTTTGTTTATATACATGTTTGCATATGTAACCCAGGCACAAACACAATGAAGCCCCCACAATAAATTGTAAAACTCATCTGTATGAAAAATAGAACTTTCTCAAGGTTTGGTTTGATTTCCTAGAGCTAAGAAGCGTCAAACCCCTCTCAGTCTTTATCTCCAGGAGAAAGGCACACTCGTTGACCTTGCCTTCTCTAAATAAACATGTGACGGGTATATTTAAAACAAATCCAAAACCAAGACACACTACTGCATATATTTCTCTCCATTGAGAGATGCAGCACTGGACGGCATTCAAATACAGTGATGAGCACTGCATCAGCCCTGCATAGAACCTATGTAGAATAGAGTAGACCGAATATAATGAGATCACACTGAATCTGACAGACAATTAACGATGGTGGAGCAGATGGTGCCCCTATAAAACATTCCATAATATATCTGTGCGTGCATTAGAATCAGTGACTTTAAGTAGGACAACCTTAAAAGGTATGCCACTTATCCTGTGGATAAGTACAACTTTACAGTTCTTTTAATAATCCCTTTATCCTGAGGTTTCGCCTTTGACCCTGGTTTCAAAAGCAGGAGGTCATTCTGGCCTAGTAGCTACAGCCCTCTAATTGAAGTCTGGCGATATCCTGGAAGAACTGTAATATCCAGCTATGTACACTTACACTTGGGTTGCAGTTTGAAAGCTGTTTGTTTTGTAATTGATTATGCCCATGAAATGGAATTAACATTTGGTGATAGACATGTTTTCAGAGAAAAAGGAAAATACTCTTATGTGAAGTGTAATAACATTTTGATATAAAATGTAGAGGCATCCCTTGCACAAATGAAACAGGCAGGGAAACATACGCCCTGTCTCTTAAAGAAATTCCAAAGCTTAAAGTTAATGCTTTTCTTATGTAGAGATTTATTTTGTCTTTTACAAAGCGTCTTTTAAACACTAGATTTTTTTTCTTTTTTTTTTTGTGGGAAAGGCATTCATTTTAGGGGTGGGCTTTTCTTTGGCAGCTGCTTTTTTAAGATTTCCCTAGTGTAACGTCAGAAAATGAAGAGTACATCTTTAAATCTTGTTTTGTTTGAATGAATGGGATAGATAATCCCGATCAGATGTTTCTTTAGAGAATAATGTTTAAAACGATTATAGAACTTAGCTGTCCTGCCTGATTCCTAGGTACAGTATTTTCATTTCAATTGTTAAGTCGTTAGGGGTCATCCAAGGTAACCGTTTATTAAAATAGTCTTCTTTTGTTTCAGATTTCCTGTTGATATGCTTTAACATCTAGAAATCTCCCTTCTGATGTGTCATGTTAGTTTTCCTAACCTCCAGATACAAACCGCAAAACAGCTACATAGTTATATGACTAGTTACTCACCTACATAAACAGTAATTAGTGCTAAGTGTGTAATTATGTGTCACATTTGAAATCTAAATGAAACTAAAGGATATGAGAATAGTGTCACCGAACATTTAAAGCTTATCACAAATCTTTCATTCTTTTTGTTTTGTAGGACATTTGGGCTTCCAGGACAGTTTTGTCACATCAGGTGTTTTCAGTGTGACTGAGCTAGTAAGAGTCTCACAAAGTAAGTATTGTCTTGCTGTTGTTCCATGTGTTTACTCTAACTCTTGCTTCTTCCTCTGATTTCCTTCTTTTCCCCGGGCTACACAAACAGTTGTAAAAAAATTCTCTCGCACCTCCTCAACTTCATGCAGGTATAATTACTCCGCATACTTGTAAATTACGTGGGCAAAGTTAATATTTAAAAAATAAACAATAAGCTTCTGATCCTGCAAACTGATCTTTGTGGCTGGATCCGTAGGCTAGTACGGAGCACCCTTGAAGGAACTGTGGTTCTCTGTGGGTGAAGGGTTTGCCCACATGGATTAGTTTGCAGGCTCGGGAGTTAAGGCATGAATTTTAACTGGACCTATAAAAATAACACCATCTGTGCCCATGAGCTAGGTCTGTTTGTCTGCCACTTTGTACATTCACGTTCCTCCATATATGCACGTGGCTATTGTTTCAGCACCCATAAATTGACGAACTTGCAAGTAATGTGGACAGTTACAGCAAAATTGGCCCAAATAATCTGACTGGCCTAGACACATACAGCATTAATTTTGCAAGACCTGCTATTTTCTCAGTTGTATGGAATTCTGCTTTTCAAAAGAATTTGTTTGTTGACCTTTAAAGAATGCTAATGCGCGCAGCATGAATGACACACTGCAGCATGATCATTACCAGCTTGTCAATACTCACTAACAACAGTGAATTAAGAGTACCTGTCACCACCCTGTTCCATTGATCAAAGGTACATTGATTGTATTTTGCTATGACATAATCCAGACAGTCCAAGGAGAGAGCATGGACAGTCTCTCTGAGCTATCTCTCTCTCTCTCTTATTCCAGCAACACCAGATCTTTAGGTGCTAGGATTCTAAATTTTTCATAACCACTGAAGAACTCTGTTGCAATATTATAGAGCAGCCGTTAACCAGCTGTAGTTAACAGTTGGGCTATGTTTCCATTATAAATCTTGGATTATAACTCATCCACTCAAATACACTGAGGGTTTTTTAGTTCTCAGCGTAGAAGCCTGAAGTCTTGTTCATTTGCTGACCCTGCAGGTCTAGTTTAAGTCTTCCTGAGAGAGGAAAGAATCCCTATTTTTGAACTACAGCAATACGCTTTCTGTAACCACAGGTTTTTCTAATTTTTTTCTTTCCCCTACAAACACATGCATATTTATAAGGTGCTACTATGAAAAAGCCTTTGCAAGAATAGGGATAGAGGGTAAGAGATATATAGAGGTAAGCATGGTAGAGCAAGAGAATAGGGCAGCTTGTTATAGGGCAGGAAGCTCCCTTCACTCTGCTTTGCTGTGAGAGGTCTGTTACAAGGACTCCTGGGTGCACAGCTTGTTTGAAAATTAGCTCATGTAGATGACCATATATGGACTTTGACATCGATCTGAAAATCCTGACTAATGTGTGTGAGAATATAGGCCAATGGATGTGAGAATAACTCTGTTTCGTGTTGCTTTATTTTGACATGAAGGGACAGGGCTCTTGAAGGCCCAAGGGATTCACCTGTCCTCCATCAAAGGCATCCCACATAACAGCAATCTTATCTTCTTCAGAGGAGCACTAGACATCACAGCTGCTTCTGGATTCTGTCAACCTTGCTTTGTGTATTTGCAAGACGGGGTTGCTAGAATGTAACCAGGATCACTGCACTTGGCTTCCAATCTCCATAGGAGGACCAGCCACTTGAAGCCTGAGAATTTGGCCCTGAGCTCAGGATCCTGTATATTTCATTCTTATTAATCTTCCATGTCACAGGTTGGGGTCCCCAGGGGTCCACAGGTATGGTGGCTCCACGACCATGCCAGCTCTGTCCCGAGGGAGTCCTCTTACCTCGCCTGCCATGTCTTGATAGTAAAGTAATAAATTGGGAGGCTACCCACAGGCCTTCGCATGGCCACAGTCCACTGACCCTCACTGGTTGCTGGACCTCACTCCAGTATTGTGCTACACGGGGCACCTTGAGCCTTATGAGCTAATTGCATGGCTCCAAACCTTCCCTTTATCATGCCCCATGCCTCATGTTGCATGCATGTTATTCCCTCTGTTGAGGTCTCAACCTGCTTGGCCTCGGCCACTTTAATCTGGCTAGGGCTTCTAGTCTAATCCCACTGTGTTGGACCTGGCTCCAAGGCACTTGCTCAACTTGGTCTGTTCTCGGTCTCAACTCGGTCTAGGCCTTTGATCCCTGTCTGCTGTGCCCCACCAGCACCAGGCTCTCTGGACTCCATGTATCTGCGCCCAGCTTGGGCCAGGCCCCCTGGCACTTGTGTCTGCTGGGTCCCTCTGGCTCCAGACCCCAGTCTTGGGCTTATCCATGCTCAGGTCTTTGCCTCCTTCTGGTCAGCTGACCATCTGCGGGTGCCAGCTAATTACATCATTAGCCTGTTGCTCAGGTAACCCACAGCTGTGGGGCACTGCCCGGCCTGGAGAGCCCCCTGGCTAGACTGCTTCCGTCCTTCAGGGAGCATGCACATCTTAGTTTCCTGTGACATTCCACTACAGTTTATCGTAACAGCTAATCTTTTTACAAAGATCCCAGCGTGCAACAAATTTTATACATTGTCTATCTGAAGATCACAGTACTTGTCACTGGAATGTGCCTATTTTGGGGTTGGAAAATAACAGCCTTTAAAAAGTTCACACAAACATTATAGGTAGGGACCAATGTAATTCAGGCTTCAGGGGATTTCAGGGGAAAGCCTGAAATTAGCATTTCCCCCCAAAGCTCCAGAAAACTTTGATTTGGCCACAAATGGTGTGAAACTATGGGGGAGAGGGAGGCTCGGAGAAAAAAGTAAAAAAAAATTAACCTGACTTGAAGCATGGAGAAGAAAGGCAGCAGAGCCCTGGAAACACTGTGAAAGTCTTATATGTTTCCAGGGGCAGCATAGTACAGGCTGAGACCTACTAGGGCTCAGCCAATCAGGTTGTTCAATTCTGCACTTTGGCAGGGAGTTTAAAAGCCCTGCCCACAGTGGAGCAGGTAAGTACCCCCTGTCCTAGGGGCTGTGGAACCAGGCATACCAGGTGCCTGCCCCCATAGCTGCGCATGGGGCATGGAGCACAGGGTGCCCCTGCTGCAGGGGCTTCCCCCTGCCTGGCATGGCTCTCCAGAGCCCTGCTTTGTTTTGCTGTTGTGCGGGAGCTGAGCAGGGCTCAGAAGGCCCATGCTGGGTGGACAGAAGCCCCTGCAGTGGGGACACCCTTTGCCCCATACCCTGCTGTGGGGGCAGGCACCCGGCACGGGTCTACCGCGCCCTGCTCTGCCTTGCCACAGTGGACTTTGCCTTAGGGTCAGCATTCCATAAAAGTGAGCACTCAATAAAGGTTGTTCTTTAATTAAGTTTATTTACTACGGTTTCCTTAAGAACTCTAAGTGGTGAGCTTGACTTAAAAGTTGCTGTTTGGTAAGTGGTGAGCTTTAGTTTCTTAAAACAGCTGAAGGACAGCCTGTGTGCTGTTGTTCAATGGTAATCAGCCCCACGGCGGGCTCCCTCAGAAATGCCTAAAAATGCCTGAAAATGCCTAAAATTGGCTCCGGCGAGCCTGCAGGGACACTGATTTCCCCCCCACCAGAGCCTGATTTACAGTGGTCCCTAATTATAGAGTTGAGCAGGACAGAAAATAGGGTGTATTGCATTTATTTGACTTAACCAAGGACATTTTGGGAGGGACATGGAGACTTTTGCCTTTTCTCAAGCAACAAGTGCTACAGGCTCTTTAATTTTATATCCTATCCTATGCACAGCCCTGTAACTCCAGCATTAATAGTGCCCCAACTGCATACTGGGATATCACTTCAGGACTGACTGAGAGGGAAAGTGTGCCAAGTACTGAATTAGCAACACTACTTCTGGTAGCACCCTGAATTGTCCTTGGAGGTGCTGCAGACATATACTGACCAGCTCTGACCCTGTTTAGTTTATGAGTTTTAGTCTGACAAGCCAACAGCCTGAGATGATATGGCTATATGGTAGGATATGTTTAGTGTGGATTCTACCCAAAAAATCCCATTGAAGTCAGTGTGACTGTGCCAACATTCAAGGAATTATTTAGCATAAAGGATCTATGACTAACTGGCATGAGTTGTGTCTAAACGGACATGTAAAGTTGCCTAATTGCTTGTGCTATTGCTGGCTTCAGTGATCCTGATATACTGAGTCCATTAAAGGACTATTTTGTTCTCTAAAAGCCATTGCATCCTCAAAGGCCACTGCAACTGCAGTAGCAGCCCAGTTGCTTGTACACAGTGCTAGCACACAAGGACCTTCCTTAGCATGCTCTCTAGCAGCTTTGCAAAAGGTCATCCTCTACAGATGGACACGAGGCTGTAGAAGGACCCAAGGGCATGTACTGGGAAGGAGGTCATGTGATCCCAGCCTTAGTCCCCACTATGGAAAGTACTGTTCTTTGGATGAACTAGGCAAAGGAGCAGTGCAACCTGCATTTCTTACACAGCTCAAAAATGCTTACTTATGGTAAAGGTAATTTTCTAAATATGTTCCAATGCATGGACATTTGCAAGGACTGAACAGTGTCATTTACCCCGTTTTGTGCATGCTGTGTGTGCTACAGGAACTCTTGTACTTCTGACTTATTGTCCATATTATTGTGGTGCTTAGCAGCCCTAGTCGTCAATCAGCATCTCATTGCACCAGGCGCTGTACAAACACAGAACAAGAAGACAGCCCCTGCTGAGAGAGGATAACCAAAATTTGTTCTTTATTGACCAGCATCACTACACTGACGTTCATAGTGTTATTCTGGATTTAAACCAGAGTATGAGAAACTGGATCTTAGCCTCATATATTAACTGTAACACAGCAAACCCTTGGGGTTTCTTGCACCTTTTGTCATTATTTTCCTGAATTATAGAGTTAATATGATGCTAGAAATACATGCTTTCCCTGAGTGTTAAGTATTTATCTGTTGTTAGCTTCTGTCATCTAAAATGAACATGAGGCACATTGTTTTTTCAGCATTTCCTCATTAGGTAT